ACGGAAAGGACGACGGGGTAAATACCCAACAGCCCAGATATCGTGCACGATTTCGCTTGAGCTCGCGGAACTCGCGTGTACCTGCTTGCCCAAATTACGCGTGTGGACATAAAATATATGGTAATAATATCGTATTTAACATACGCGAAACGTACATGTACGTTAGTACACGTGCAGGCATATGCGCGACACTTTGCACGTGAGGAACGAGGCTCCGAATCGAAATTCACGACGAAATTCAGCGCAACGATCCGTTTCTGCAATGGCAAGACACGATCGCTGAAAGTAAAAAAAAAAGTCTTACACTTTGTGAAAATATTTTTGGTCGTATTTATTTCGACGGATGCGGCGATTATGATAAGATTTTCTGTATAGATACAAAGATATATACACATATACATATATATAACATCTGTTAATAATAATAATTTATTACGTGCGCTAAATCGTTTCGTTACATCGCGTTACGTAGAAAATTTATCGACGTTGTTAACGATTGTCTTCCTTTGATAATCGATAGCCTGTATAATGGCCACATCCGTCACTGTTAATAAATCATTGTTATTCCATGAAATAATTACTTGAACGAGTAAGCATTCAGAGATCTTTTTAATTCTTTAAGATATTTATTTTAATATGGACTTAATGATTTGATTTATTTAAAAAATCTAATGCAATATTTTAGACATATTTAATAATGTATCAGGCGTATATGTATATACACTTAGATATATATTAAACGTATATTAAATATTTCGACTTTTATTTAAAATAAACTGATTAAAATTGATATTAAAAAAATTATGCATATATATATATATATATATATATGAGGAACAATAATTTTATTTTCACGAAAAATGCAGAGAATTAAAAACATAAAAATGTTTAATGTTTTTATGGCGATTCGTCGATGACCAAGTAGCAACGGATCGCTACGATTGCACGAATCGATTTCGTGTAACGCGATGTCTTACAATAGCGAGTATAATCTACTCTCATTAGTTGACAACCGGCGGTGTATTGTGAGATAATAAGGAAAGATTTAATAAGTAATTACGTAAAGAAAGAGAGAGGGGAAGAGGGGAAGGGAAGAAGCGAGAGGGAGAGAAGGAGGGGAAGGGGAGGAGAGAGAGAGAGAGAGAGAGAGACAAGGTAACGTCGACCCGTCGTAGATTCAAGCACAATAAGGACTAGTAGGGCCAGGCACAATAAAATTCGGCCGTCACGTTGTAGGCAGCGATTTGTTAGAGCGACAATTCGTATAAGTATCCATATAGCAAGGCTATTAAATAAACACATATTGTCTATTGTCCGACAAGTGTATTTATTGTTGATGCTGATCGTTCCCTTCTGCAAGCCTCTAAGCAATCTGATATTGAAATAAATATTTCACAGAGGAAAAGACTAACATTTACTCTACACTCATTAACTCCCTAGTTTCCATTCTTGAAAATTTTTAATCATATTTTATATTATTTATATAGTATAGTTTGTGTAATACAATATGTACAAAAATGTAAACAATATAAAGCGACTTCAAAATATACATATATATATATACAATAAAAATGTATATATCATAATACATATTGATTAAGACTGGCGAAGTTAAATTCCATACCAAATTAAACAAATAATATTAATTCTAATAATATCATTTGTATATTATTCATATAAAAGATTTGATATCAATAACTGGCGCCAAGTTAAATTTCATATCAAATTAAATAATACAATTCAAAATTGCGTTACTTTGTCCATTTAAGTATTATCACAAAAAGTTAAAGAAGTAAAACACTTGGTGCTGCTAGATCGAATAATAAAAAACGATGTGTATAAAAACAATTAAAATATATACAATTATAATAATAGCAAATTATAATACAATATAAATAATAAAATATAATTACAATTTTAATGTAATAATGAATTTAGTCTGAATGTTTTTTTTATATTGAATAAAAATAAAGTTTACTGTTTATTTCTTTTTTCTTTTTCATAATATAAGTTTTATAAGTACGAGTTTATTTATCTTAGACTTAAACCTAACAGCTTGAGTAACTTTCGTTACTTATACTATTTAACCCAATCGAATATATACCTACGTTGGGTATTTTTGCTCTCGTAGAAATGTCTTATTTTTCTTACTTTACATTACATTCATGTTTTTAGCAATATATTAGCTATCGTGATTTAGCAGCGTCAAGTATTTACTACTTTAATTTTTTGTGGTAATATTTGAATGAACAAGGCAACGCACTTATGAATTGTACTATTTAATTAATTTGATGTAGGATTTAAGTTGGCGCCAGTTGTTGATATCAAATCTTTTATGCGAATGATATATATTATTACAATTAATATTATATATATATATATACATATATATATAAGAACAACATCTATTTCGAGGCGACGTAAATAAACAATATTAAACATTGAATCTCATTAGAGTACATGTGAGAATGCAATCAATAGAGATAGATGCCTTTAAATCATTTCGGCGCGCAGTTTAAAAGACTACGTATGTAGTATATAAATTCAGACAGAATTATACTAGCACTTAAGCTTAGACCGTTAAAGACATCTATCTCTATTATGTTCTCACATGTATAGTCAAATGAGATTTAATATTTGACATTGTTTTATAATAACGTCTTAATTTTTTACATATTCACTTGAAGATAGAAATTATTTGTTTCAATTAGATTTTACAATTTATATTGCAAATAAAACAGAGAGATGTAAAATTTGAAATGGGACTTTTTTACTTTGGATATAATTTCGTTTACTGGATACATCCTACATATATTGAATAAAAGTCCTTCATGCATTAAATAAGTATATAACAGAATGCAATAATAGACAATCACGTATTCAATATTTCATATAGGGATGCGCCGGACATATCCGGAAAGTATCCAATGTCCGGTATAATTCGGTATGTTTTTACTATTCAATCGGATAGTCAGATATCTGGAAATATATCCGGTTGAAATTTGATATCATTAAATTGTTGATTTTTTTCTTATACAAATATTCTAGAAATAAGTATGCATATTCATGATGCTATAATATCTTATACATTGTTACAAAATTACAATCTTTTTCTTATAGGCTTTTTTTTTAGAAGACACTTTCTCGGAATCCGGTCGGATATCCGGAAAATATCGGATATCCGACTCGAATAAATTGCGTTCTCGGATATCCGATGTTACATTTTGTCCGGATATCTGATATACGGTAATTTTATCCAGTGCATCCTTAATTCCGCAAATTACATAAATATCTAAATAACATCACAATATCTAAATTATTTTTCTCATTTAACTGCATTTATATATTTTTCGTTGTTATTTGATATATTCAAGATCTTTTACCTTTTGTTTTCAATTCAACATAATTATTTTCGTTAAGTACAATATAATGAAAGCATTGTACTTTTTCGGTACATAATCTTTTTTATAACCTTTTTTATAAACTTTTTTTGTAAATCTACAACGATGGATGAAATAGTGTTATTACTAATGTTAAAATTATTGCGAGAAGCAGAAATATGCCAAGTGCTATTCCGGTAAGAGTGTGCGAAAATTTTATTTTGATTATAACGTTCTATTGCAACAGCAGAAATATACAAGAAAATGAAAATTTCGTATATAGTCAGTTACATAAAAAATGAGACGTCTCCAAGATGCGCAAGTGACAATTTATTATTGGAATGTAAACGACCGCTCGTGAAAAGTTCTTCAATTATTTCAGAATGACGAAATTATTTGAAGAATTGCTGGCATTAGTTGGATTATATATAAAACAAGAGTATGTCGTATTGAAAAATAAGAATTATTATTAATTTTCTTTTTCGAAGTTGTCAAATTCTCAATCATCAACAATAGTTGAATCGACTAGCCTGCAATCGACATGACATTCTGTTGATTATCGTATCGTCTCTATACCATTCCGGTGATTCCGATACAGTAGAGAAACTTCTTACGGAATGGAATGCTAGTGAACTCATTTCTAGCAAGAAATCCGTTCCGTCGATCCAATTCCGTGTATATGGATCGACACCCTTAACGTTTCAAGACGAAAAATAATTTCAGAAAAATCATTTCAAAGGACTACATACGTAGTATATAAATTTACACAAAATCATATAAGCATTTTAAGATCCAGCTAGACAGTTTAAGGTTTTGATTTCTGCAGTTTATGTTATCACATATATGGTCCTATAATATATTATATTGTTTACTTACTTATATAATATTTTACTAATTCTGCACAAATTTCTTCCTTTTTTTTTATGTATTATGTATACATATTATAACAGGTGACGGCAGAATGACAGCAAGGAGCCATATTGCTTTTCGTAAAATGACGCATTCTATTGGTTGAACAAATTGACTATTGCGCATCATAGATTTGAAGTATGGTAATTCCACCATGGATTTGAAGTATCTTAGAATCTGAAGTCTGTTTCCGAAACATTTTTTTTTATTTTAGCTAGGAGTACATGATAATTATTTAATCGTTATTTAGTAGTAATATCCAGATTACGAGTTGCATGATAATAATAAAGAAAGGGTAACAAATATGTTAAGGAATATTTCAGTAACAAAAAGTAAGCTAATGCAGTAAAATTAGATTACGATTGGGTTATATTAAATGTAACTTAATATATATCATATAATTTTATTTATCAATAATTATTATTTTTATAAATTTACAATGCCAATTTTGTATTTCAGTATAAAGATTTTTTGTATTAACACAATATAAAATCTTAAACTTGTGTCAACTATAACAAAATGCTCATATAAGATCATAATTTTAAATAAATTAAATTAAATATCAATATTTATCCGAGAAAATGTCTCATTTTTGTATCCAATATACCATTGATATATCACTGATAGGTTGGGTATCAAAAATACCCAATAATTCTACGCGACAATTTGCCTGATAATTAACATGAGAAACGTTAATGTTTTATCTAAAATCTTCACAATTTAATAAAGATTATTCATATATTATTATTTCAATTGGTAGTCTACAATTCAGAGCGATCGTTGCGTGCTAGAGTGGAGCAACATACCAAAATATTTGCGTCTATGTGTCCTGATGAAATCCTCGATTATTATGACAATTACGAGACCAGAGAATATGACACAACGTTGCTGCTCGGTGATATTTCAGGTTAGAGATATTTGTTGAATTATTAAATATCAATTATTATCATGACGAATTACAAATTGTAATGTGTAATTGTAATTAATGCAGGCTTCACAGATCTCACAGAAAAATATACGAAGACTGGTGTTGGTGGTCCATCTAAGTTATCGGAAACTTTGAACAGCTATATCGGCGCAATGGTGCAGGAAATTCTTTCTCATAATGGAGACGTTGTGAAATTTTCCGGCGATGCGTTTATAGTAATGTGGAAGCTCCAAGATGGGATGCTAATGCGTGATATCGCCACGGAGGCAATGCAAACTGCATGCATCATACAGAAACATTTTGGAATCTATAACACTGATGTTGGTGTATTACTCAGAGGTACAATTGTACCAATAATGCATCAATATGTCAAAGTGCTAAATTCTAGCGTTTTTAAAAGTCAACATTAATAAATCTACAAATCAAAATTTACAAGCATATAATAATCGACAGATTTATATTTTTTAAAAACATTATACAATCCCAGCAACCGAGAATGGATTGAAATGAATTGAAATGGATTCAGATTTTCAGAAATATTGATTCGAATGTTAAAATAAATGCTTTTCAATCCTGAATGCATTTTTATTCATTTATAGGAATTGCATGGAGCATATCTCTATGCCTTTCAATCTAAAAATAATATTAACTTTTTCTGTGCATTGTGAATACTGTTCAATTCAAAATTTTGAATAGAAAATACAGTTTTTCAATCCAATTGCATCCAATTGAATCTAATTAAATCCAATTAAATCCAAAAAAAAGTATTTGCTATTTAAAATATGCATTCGGATAGAAAAAAATTTCAATCTAATTTAATTCATTCTCGTTTGGATAGATTGCAGAATCTTCGATACGACGGTAGTTAAAAAAAGTTAATTCAATAATATCCTTGACAGTAAAACTTGCCATTGCTTCCGGAATAACGTACTTCACGTCTATTGGTGATCCAGACACGATGTCTTATTATGTCATTACTGGAAAACCTGTTTGGGATGTAAAGTTTGCCGAAGGATTATGCAAGTATAGTGAAATATTATCTATCATTTTAACTTATTTATTACAATGTAAGTAGATATAAATTATGCAATAATATATAAGTTTAAAGTGAAACAAATGAAAAAGGAAAGAACAAAGATAGAAATTCATCTATTTATATAATCTATTCATTAATTATAAATAATTAGTATAAATTTATAAGTTGTCATTATAAATATAAATTAATACAATCAATAGAATCAATGTCTTTAACAGTCTTAGCTGGATCTTAAGTGCTTATTTAATTCTGTGTGAATTTATATACTACGTATGTAATCTTCTAAACTGTGCGCTGATATGATTTTTCGGTCTTGAAACGTAAACTCTACTAAACTACTGTATTAATATCACGAATTAAATTGATTAGCAATTTAACAATTTGATACTTTTTCGCATCTTAGAACGATTTTAAAAATGTTGACGTATTAAAATTTAAAAAAATTGAATTAAAATTACATTTAAATAATTGATTCTTATTGCGAAAAATATTACCTCGGCCAAGAGTCGAACCCAGATTTCTTGCATTTAAGGTTTAGAACGCTCGCACGGAATGCAAGAGATTTAGGTTCGACTTCTTAGAATTAATTATTTACAGATTTTAATGTGTCACTCAGCTAAGATTTAGTATGTCACTCATTATTAAGATTGTTCTAAAATGCGAAAAAATATCAAATTGTTAAATTGTTAGTCAATTTAACTCGTGATATTACAGTAGTTTAGTAGAGTTTGCGTTTCAAGACCGAAAAAGCACAGTTTAAAGGATTACATACATAGTATATAAATTTACACAGAATTAAATAAGCACTGAAGATTCAGCTAAGACCGTTAAAAACATTGATTCTATTAGTTGTGTTTTCACATGTATGATCGAATAAGGTTCAATATTTAATAATATAAATTAATAAATATTAATTTATTTATACATTTATAAGTAAAAAAATGCTAAAGAGAATAAAATGTATTCCGCTAATTTTATTTATTAAAATTATTTTTTGTTAATTTTATGAGAGACGAACAAATCAAATATATATATAGAGTGATACAATAAATTCTATCTAGAGGTGGCGATATTCTTGTGGCGCCCAGTAGTTGGCAATGGGCAAATCCTAGCGATTATATTTATGAAAAGTTGCCGGATGGTATACATACTTTGATCACAGCTTGTTCAGCAATGTGGTATCAATCTAGAATTTACGATATTTACAATGGTATTGTTGGAATCAGTATATGATTTTATATTGTTAAAATAAGAAACTTGAAAATGAATACTAGTTCTTTGTGAGATTAATTTGTAGTTGTTTAGTTTTGTTATAATATTTAAAATAATTATTTAATTGGCCTCGCTGGCAAATCTAAGGACTTTTTTGTATCATGTATTAATTTACTTTCTCTCTCTCTCTCTCTCTCTCTCTCTCTCTCTCTCTCTCTCTTTGTTTTTTACAATAATTTATATAAATGTTCTTCAACCTTATTATGAGATGACTAATGTATAAATGTTTTTTCAATCTTATTTCATGATATATTTGTTTTACAAATTAATACTTCGAATTCTTTCGCAGTGTAACACCTTATTCGAGATATCAATAATAAATTTTTAACTACGTAAATAAATGTAGCTGTAAAGTCAATTTGACAAACTCTAATTTTAATAATAATATTGCAAAAATTAATAGTCACATATACAATCTTAATATAATTATATAGCTGATTAATTATATATATCAAAATATATATTTCTGTCAATGGCAAACGTTAAGTCTAATAATATATTATTGAATACAATATACTTATAGCCTTTTATCAACCTTTATGCAAAAAAAAATGCAACTTATTTGAATTATATAATATTATAAACGCAAATCTATTCTCATCTGTGAGCTCATCGCGCGGAGAGCGTCGGAAAAAAAGAAGATCGGAACAAAATCACTTAGCAATTTGTTGTTTGCGTAGGTCTAATCAGTAAATCTACTTACTACGAGAATTGAACTTATCAAACTCAAAACGCAATTATTTTCAACACTTGCGGATTAGCTTTTGAACACTTTTTCTTTTTATTGCAGGAATCGCTTGTTCCTTAAACAGTCGTGATCATTTTTGGATGAGATTCTGTGCAACTCACATTTCACAACGTACCTTTTGATAAGTCAGATTAGTTTGTTCTCTCCTGATCATTAAACACTGAAAAAATGTATACTAATAAAATATCGACGAACATGGTTCATCGATACACAGACATAGAAGATCGGAAAATTCTATGCAAAAATGACCACGTTCGTCTAATGAACAAGCGACTCCTGCAATAAAAAAAATAAAAATAGTTCCAAAGCTAATCCGCAAGTACATTATAAAATAAAATTAAAGAATATATATATTAATCATAAGGTTGAAGAACACTAATAATAAGGTTGAAGAACATTTATATAAATCATCGTAAAAGACACATATAGTAAATTAACGAATATATGATGCGGAAAAGTCCTTAGACATTTGCCAGCGAGGCCAATAAAATAATTATTTTATAAATATTATAACGTTAAATTTATTTATTTATAAAATAACATAAATATATACATGTAAATTAACAACATAATATAACGACTACAAATTAATTATACAAAGATCTAGCGTTGATTTTCAAGCTTCTCATTTTAATAATTTGATTTAATCACAAAGTCATATTATTAATTATTACGATTTTATAATGCAAAAATGTAAAGTCTTATTCTAAGTAATAAAACGTATTGCAATTAATAAAATAGGTAACAGAAATACTGAACACGATTTACTGAACAGAAATTTTCTTGATTCATTGCGTAATGACAAAGCGCCAAATAATGCAACCTTAACGAATTGGATCAATATGGTTACTGCTCCAGAATATTACGAGGAAGTTGATTATAGTTGTGAGTAAAAACGTACAATCTGCATTAATATACATTATATTAATGTATATTAATATATTATGTAAGTAATTTATTTTTATGTTACGTCCTGATGACTTCATGATTTTTTTTTTCGTGGAGAATTTTTTTTTCTCTTTCTTTTAATGCAAATAACTTGCGATCATCTCCAGGATAGAATCAGTAAGATGGCCGATCAAATATCGACTTTCAGATAGATTGATTAATTAAAAAAATAATAAATTACTACTTATCGATAAAATAATTAATAATAAATTAAAAGATATTCGGCGTTGTACAATATTTCTTCTAATTTTGTTCAAATAATTTTAACATTTAAAAAACATTTTTTTAACATTAAAAAAATGTTATATCCAACCATTTTATAGTCATTATACATGCTATCAAAAGTTGTTTTAAAAATGAGTACATTACATCAACCTCAACATTAAATAAAATAATAAATATATTTGTCCTCAAAAATATTTTTAACAAATGTTTAACCCTTTATCTACGAGAAATCATGTATAATTATTTTATATTATTCACTGATCTACAATCCGTTAAAAGTAAAATAATAATGATTACAAATTTCTTTACTAAAAAATAGGAAATGAATTACCTGCAACATATTTTCGGAAACTTTACCCAATAATCCAAAGATGCAGCAAATAGATCTTATTAATCACTCTTATTTTTCAAATATTCCCAAAGGATGGATCATAATAATCAAATCAAAATCAAATACCGAAATAAAAACAAAAAATGCATCGTTTATGATATAAAATTTATATAAGAGATATACAGAGTGAGTAAAAAGTCTCGGACTAAAGAGTGACTAAAAGTCTCGGTGGTAAAATGTCTCGTAAACTAAACATTTCCGAAAGAAATGTTTCTTACAAAAGTTGTAAAATTTTAAATGATCCATTCAGAGATCTGATCAGTTTGACATGATCTTGACGACATCGCTAAGGTCAAATCAAGTCACAACGATTTTTTTTTTAATTGAACATTCCATTTTTTATTCCAGAATCTAATAGTTGGTGTCAAGAACTTTCCAAAACACTAGAATAAATTATTATTTTTTGTTGAGTAATTTTTGAGTTATAAGTCTTGAAAGTTACAATATCGCCGACATTAGCATGACGCGAAGTGTTTGACCGACAACTAAAACCTTTTGAATATTGTTCAGAATTATGTCCTAGATAATATTTGTCAAAATCAAAGCCATTGGAGGTTGTATCTCTTATTCTAAACCATTCTCCTGGTTATTGAAGACTGATCGATTCCTCCACCTTCCCTGCCCCTTACAATACTCTTTTTTCCCCCTTACCACTTCAACAAGTAGCATAATATAAAAAAGGAATGATCAGGAGGAACAGCTCAGTTCAGAGCTGTTGTATCAGGCTGTTCCTCGCCCTGATGAAGGATTGTAAGGTTCACGAAACGTTGGCATTCCAAGAATGGATTTGGACATGGAGGAAACCCGCGAAACGCATAATTTTTATATATCTCTTACTTTTATTTGTACGTAAAAATGAATTTTTAATGCAAAAATGAAAATAAGAGGAATAATCTTCAATGGCCAAATATTTGCAGTTAAATAAATCATTATATCACGTGTTTTCCTATCAATACGATCTTACTCTATCACTGTATGCAGATTTTATTACTCAATATTTATTTTGATACAGTAAAACAAGAGTTAAAGATTAACCTCATTAAAATTTGACAACATCTGGTTTCACAAATCTTTTTTTAAAAAATAATATTGAGAATATATTGGGCACATAAAAAATCTTTTTTTGCTACGACTACACACATGATTTAATAATGAATTTTCTGAACCACAGGATTCATTCTAAGAATAAAAAGTTCGATAGAACCATATAAGCTTATTAGTTTAGTAGAAACTCCGCTATCACATACTAGAAGCCCATAATAAGCGATCTTATCTTATTGAATCAACATGTATTCCAAATAATAAATTTCTAAAATAATTAATCCGAGAAATTATAGTTAGTTTGGCTGCTCTCGATTTCATCTCCTCAATCCCAAGATCGCACGAGATCCTTTCTCAAAAGGATTGAGTTCCTCTCAAAATAGAGAATCAACGGTTGCACTCTCTCGAGCGACGTAATAACACTTTGTATTTGCGTTGACCCGTACCAAAGATTTACTCGACCTCTGACTTGTGGTACGCACCCACAGAGCGATAAGTCATAACAACGGTATCAGTTATGTCCTTCCATTCCTCTTCCTAACTCCCTCGACTTCCCATGAAATCGAAAGAATCTTGTGGTCTGGACGTAACATTTACATTATTTCGAATTAATTAGATTGCAAATTGCATTTATAAATGTTTAATTTTGTAGTGAGGCCCAAAGTTATAAAGGCAGCTAAAGAAGGATTGAAAGATTTATTGAGATGCTATATGCTTAGACAGGAAAAAGGGGGGGAGCCATTAGAATATCTTACAGAAATGAGGCAAGTGGTCATACTCTTTATAAACATCATCACAACGGTTATGGATAACAAACAATTGGTCTCGCTCGTTGACAGGGCTTATAAATTAGTTTGCGGGTAAATATCCAAATTTATATTTTTATCTAGCTTTTTTTATTACCTAGAATTGTATTAATAATTATATTTATATTAACGCAGTAAACTGAAAATAACGGTTTTTTTTATATCAAATATTACGATAATTAATTTAAAAAGGACTTATCCATATAAAAATATATATATATATATACATATAATGTTATACCGTTATGATTATTTTTTTAATAAGTATAAATAATGAGTTTTTATTTTTCAAGGGTAGTTAGTGAGATGCACGGATGCGTGAACAAGACATCTCTTTTCGACAAAGACCTAATATTTCTTTGCATATTTGGACTACGGGGCGAGAAACACGTGTTGGAATCACAGATCGGATTGAGATGCGCCAGTACGGTGCGGCAAAAGCTTCTAGCAATAAAAAACGTAGAATCTGTGACAATCGCTGTTACCACTGGAATGACATATTGCGGTGTAGTTGGTCATATTTTACGGAGGGAGTATACTGTGATTGGAATGGCAGTAAACAAAGCAGCCCGTTTAATGGTCGCATACAATAACAAAGTAATTTAAATCTGAAAAAAATAATTATTTAACTTTTGCTCATATTCTGTTTGTTGTCATTTTAGATGTAGGCAAATAAACTCTTTTTCGCAAATATGTTATTAAATTGAAAAATAAGTTACCATCGACATTAAATTTTAATGTCTTTTTATAATTAAAACATAACAAATATTTTACTTTTATTTTATGCAGCAGTGTAATTCTTATCTTTAAGGTAATATGCGATCGAGAAAGTTTTTTGCGCTCTCGTCTTGAAGCGAGACACTTTATACTGCAAGAGCCAAGACATTTGAAAGGAATCACAAATGTCGGTCCAATTTATGAGTTTCAAGAACAGATAAAGTATTTTGCAATTTTTTAATGTTGTAATCTTCTAGAAATTCTCGTTTATTTTTATAAAGTGTTATTAAAATTACATGAATTTATATTCGATTGTAGATTTATTACGCCTGAATTAATACAGAAAAAGTATCCTTTGCTTGGACGACAAGAGGAAATCAAAATTTTTCAACAAATGTTATCAAATTTGATAACACATTTCACTTTGGATGTAACAACGGATCATGTGCAGCTTGAACACAATACGCTAATTATAAAGTGGGTGAAATATAATATTCCATTGAAACTTTAATTTAATTTCTTAATTTTCTTAATTATTAATTTGCAAATTATTTTTATAATATTTATTAATATTTTTGTATTAATCTTACCTGTCTTCTGTTTATAATCTTATTATCTATTTTCTTATTTATAATCTGGTTATTTTTAATATCTTCTTTTTTAGAGGTGAACCGAGAATTGGCAAGACGAGATTGTTGGATGAAATTGCACGGAATATACCTGCAAATATACCACGCAACTATATTCCCTTGAGCATGGGCGATGCTAAGGTTGACTGCAAGATTTTTTTTAACACATATTTAATTTAATCGATGTTAGAAGTAGCATACACAAAATCGAAATCTTATCTTATTATCCTTCTCATCATATTTTAATTAGAAATTATTATTATTTCAATAAATATGCATTTTAAGTTATACTTCACCGATTTCAATGTCCTTTAGATATGTTGTAGGGGAGAGTGTCCTGAGTGATTTCCCACAAGAATTAAGTGAGGGACGACATTGGTTTAGAAGATATAATAAATTAAAGTTTCATAATAAAGTCATAGCATACAATTTTCCACGCGAAGCGACTTTCACCCCCCTGCTCAGGGCACATAACTTTCCAAAGAAATATAGTAATCTCGGAAAGTTGTGCACTCCAAAACAGGGAGGATGGGGGGTGAAAATCATTTCGCGTCAAAGTCGTGCGCCCTTAAGCAGGGGAATTTTATTATACAATAGAACTTTAATTTATTATATCTTCTAAACCAATGCCATCTCCCACTTAATTCTTGTGAGGAATCACTCAGAACACTGAATCTCCACTGCAATATATCTAAAAAGGACATTGAAATCGGTAAGGCGTAACTTAAAATGCATATTTATCATTATTTTAATAAAGCACTTATCTGTTAAATAATTATTAATTAAATTTTTTATTTTTTTCAATTACAGATTAGATTAAGAGTCCGAACTGAGTTAAAAAATAAATGGTTTTTTTTTAACATAGACTTCTTACAGTTTGATCCACCTGATATTTTCCGTACCGTTGGGCTTCAGTGCCGTCACTACCCCGAGAGAGCGCGAAGAAATACTGATGTCACGATTAGGCTATATACGCGATCCAAAATTTCTTTGTGCCCTTAATCAGCTCTTCAATGTGGATTTCAAGATGCATTCAGACTACATAGCGCTATCTAGAAAGCAAAAGTACAATGTGTTGCGCAAGCTTTTACTCAAATTAATGAGAAACTGTTTCAAGGAACTATGGGTGATAATTATTGACGACACTCAGCATAGTGACAATGATTCTATGAAATTGTTTCGTACGATAATCAAACAAAATACAATCTTCTTCGTCCTCAGCTTTGGACGTACGTTCAATGGCGATTACGAAATACACCCCGATATTTCGAAGAGAGCACGAGTACGAACATTGAAATCGATAATTAAAGTGATTTCTTCAATACCGTCAATAACGTGTCTTCCTTATTTTTCATAATTAATATTTTATAATAAAAAATAAAAATGTTGCATTAAATTTGCATGTACGATATATTCTTCTACATTTAACTTTATTGCTATACTACGCAGAGATATACGCAAAACTATAAATTATTTTTTATTATTAATAGATCATCGAATTGGGTTGCATAGACAAATGGTATCACGCAGGGCTTGCATGTCAGTTCCTTGATGCAAACGGAATTCCTCCGGAACTCGAGAGGTTGGCCATTCTAAATACGCAAATAACTTTTATAAACAATCACAATATACATATAGATTTCTCTATATTTTGTGTATTTGCACTTCATACTTTTAGATTGATTCAAGAAAAAAGTTTTGGTAATCCAGGATGGATAGAAAGTTATTTGCTGAGTCTCATGCAATCTGGTAGTCTTGTAATAGAGCATATCAGCAAAATGATTGCCGAGGAAATGGGTTATGTACTTCCTCCCATTTATATGCTAAAAAGGTCTTATTATTTTATTTATGATTCTAATTTGTCTTATCTTTATCTTCTCTTAAATATATATAATTTTGTAAATTAAATTATGTAAAAAGAAGAAATGTTTCAAACAAATCAAAAAAATTAATTCAAATCTTTTCAAATATCTTTTCATTGTAGATAATAATTTTAATAGGTAATAAGCTATGAAACATTTTTTCTTACTTGCACTTAATATTATCTTGATATTAATATTATCAATAACAATGATTAAAATTATTACAAATACATAATGATCAATAAATGTTTAGATCTGAAGATATCCCAGAAGATATCTTTCCAAATAACGAAGAAGAACGTTCAGACAAGTGGAAAATGTACAGGACAAGCTATCGTGTAGATTTCCTCTCTTTTGTTTTATTAATTATTTCATAAGTTTGTTTTATTAATTATTTCTAATTAAGAAAAGACGAAATATTCATTTTAATTTTAGAACAATTCAATATCTCCAAAGATGTTGCAAACTATCATTCACAAAACGGGAATGCCAATTTATGATGAGGAAACAATTGCCATTTGCAAATTTACAGAAAGTTTTGTAGAAGAGGGAGAGACTGAAGTGACAATGGACGGTAATTAAGATTATTTTCAATAAATATTCAGATAGAGGGAGCCAGTGCCAATGACCTTGACGTACGTTGTCAAGGTTATGAACTTAAACAACCTCCAACAAGTTTTAGCCATCGTTTATTATTTGGTAAAATATTAACAAAAAAATTTGAAAAATAACGTCTCATTTTTGCTACATATAAGTAATATTATTAAGAATTATCCCTATACTCTCTTCTGCTTATCTATAATGACTTTCCATGCGAAGCGAGATCCACTTCCTTACCTCCTGCCAAGGAGCGCATGATCTTTCACGCGAATCTTTCCAACCCCATATTCACTCCTCAACAGATATATTATTTTTTATGGAGATAGATTTTACTATTCCGCCATTAACATTATGCAAGATGTCCGACCGACGCTAAAATCTTTTGAATATTATTCAGGATCATGTCCTGAATAACATTTATTAAGATCAAGGCTATTTGAGATTGTACTTATTATTTTTATTTTTGCACAAGAATTCATTTTTACATAAAAATGAAAATAAGAGGTACAACCTCCAATGACTTTAATCTTGGCAAATGTTATCTAAGACATAATCCTGAACAATATATTCAAGAAGTTTTAACCATCGATCGGATATCTTTCGTAATGCTAATGTCGGCGGTACTGTAACTTTCAAGCTTTATAACTAGAAAAATACTTAATGAAAAATAACTTTATTATAGTATTTTGAAAAGCTTTTGACATCAACTATTAAATTCTTGCATCAAAAATAGGTGTTCTATTTAAAAAAATTAGTTTGACCTTGATTTGATCTGGACAAGCGGATGTGATCAATGAATAGATCATTTTAAATCCTACAACTTTTGTTTGAAACATTTTTCTTAAAAATACTTTGCTTCCGAGATATTTGACTGTTTCGAGACTTTTAATATACCTTGTATACTAGAAATAAGTACAATATTTCTTAAAAACTTCTTTTATTAATAACTTTTTAATACTGACTGAAATCTGTTGGAGGTTACTCAGGATCATGATCTTAACAACATGTCAAGATCAAGATCATCGGCGCTGGCTCGATCTCTTTATCTGAACATTTACCATATGTTTTTATAAATTAATATTTATTTCTGTTTATATAGTATAATATTTTAAAATATATATTTAGTAATTTGCACAATATTTTTATTTTTTTGTGTCGTATAATTTTGTAATTATCATATATTATATCGGCAGCAATGATTTTAAAAATTTTTGACTCTTTAACACCATTGGATCAAATACTATTAAAATGCGCTTCAGTATTGGGAGAAATTATTAATAGAAACATGTTACAATACTTAATGGAAGATAAATCTACGATAGAAATTGGACTCGGTAAAGAGATATCTAGGACAATGCAAATGTTGTAATAACAACCCTCTACAATTCTTGGAGAATGAATAATTTAAATAATTATATAACTTTGTTGTTATTAAATATTGTTCAAAGTACTTATTATTATCGTAGCTGTCAAGAAACTCTTTGAGATTCGAATTTTTGGATGCGCACGAGGTGATTTTACTATGAGCGGTAGTCCGCTGGTATTTAATAGAAATAGAAATATAAAGGAACCTTTTCTCGAGACACAAATTGCGTGCGAATGTGTGAATCTTATGATACCAGGTGTAGTGAAGCAAACATTTGAATATAAAATACAAAATTATGCCATTATGTTCGTTTAAAATTTTTAATAAGAGCCAAATTTATTTAGAAGAACTAACTGATCTACCACAGTACACGTCTTGTGGTTTGATGTATTTCAAAATGTCAATGTTCCGCGAAACTACTTATAGGTAATAGATAATTTTACTATTCAGATATAATAATAATAGAACAATAGATATGTATATATGTATATAATATGTATATATATATAATATTTAAAATATTTTATATTAAATTCTATTATAGGATTTAAGATTCAAATATTATATATAATAAAATTGATCGTGTCTTTTTATATTTTTATATATAAAGATCACTCACAGAACATCAAAAAATGGAATTACATAGCAAAGCGTTAAAATATCTTCGGCAACATACTAAACGAT